GGATTTCTAGCAGCATTCCCTGATTGACTACTTGGAACAAATGGCCTCGTTGACGTAAAGTGTCCCCGTTCCAAAAGATTATGGAAGCATACTTAAAGCGCAAAGGAGTATGAGGCGAAAAATAAGAAAAAGGAGTCTGGTGTGAAAGGTCCAAATCACCACCATAGCTTCTACGATCAAATACAAGTGCAGTTACACAATACACAAAGAGAGTTTTGTGATTTAGTTTTATTTACACTCAAGGGCATTGATATCCAACGTATTCAGAGAGATGACACCTTCTGGTCAACCAACATAGAGCCTTTTCTACTCAAGTTTTACATGGAAGGCCCGAATTCCGCTGAAATTCCTTACGTAGACGAGTTGTCCGACCGAATAAACTGCAATTACTCCCGATCTGGGAATCTCTTGATCTTCGTTTGTAAGCCATAGTATCATGAGATCGAAGGGTGTGGCTCATCGTCCGCCGAATATTGCTTCGGCGGGTGTTTTTACCATGTAAGATGAGACCGTCGCGTGCTGCTGGAACAACAACCTGTCGATTCTTCACTGAACTGCTTCTTCCGTAAGCTTCAAAAAGGCCTTTTTTTTTCTTTTTTTTTTTTTGTTTCGCACACCATCTGTTCTGCATGCCCGTTAGTTGCGGGATGGTATGGTGCGCTAATGTGATGCCTGATGCCGGTTTTTTTTCTTCAAAAATTTGTTTATTTTGTTTGAAGCAAGATTTGGCGAGTTATCAGAGAAAAGTATTTTCGGTAGGGCAAAAGTAGGTAAAGGAGACCGTAGAACGTCAATGACGTGTTTGGACGTCGTGCCAGGCATCTTGTAAACTTCCAGCCACTTAGAGTACGCATCGCCCATGACTCCGCAGATGCGGATACGTTTCGCCACCCACCGATTGAATAGTGGATCGTTTTCAATTACTGTTCATGATGGCGTGGGACTCAAGGAAGACTTTGAGTCTTTCCAGAAAGTTAGTCTAGGTGCCAGGACTTTTGTCGAAAGCGGTAAGTGTTCGAAACGTCGACAACGTCGGTAGCCACGTGTTGTGCTTGACACTGGGCACTTACCATTCGCTGAGAAGAAACTTGCTTGTTCGTCTGCCACGAGTCGTCCGATATCAGGTCATCCCCGCAACACCATCTCCCGACAAAAACGCATGTTCATAGTTAGCAATCACGTGAACTTATAAATTCCCGAAAGCTCATAACTTGCCGTCGTATAAAGGCCGTTCATTCATAACGTCATCATTGCAAATAAACGTCTTCCTATTTCTTCTGATGGTTTTCACCATATTCCTCCTAAGCTGTACTTACAACATTATGTGTGTCGGTACTTCCGAAAATATTGCAACGGCGTTTGTTTTCTGGGAACCCCCTCCCTATAATGTAACAACCTTTACAACATCTTCTGGACCCAGTGAAACATAATATTTCGTGACGTTATTTTAGTCATAATTAAAATGGTGAGGTAAGTACCGTAAATCGCGAAGCAGTTTACTTGACGTCCGCTTCCACTGGCGTCTTGGAGGATTGAGTCTACTGAGCGTGCATTCCTGCAGAAGAATTTTTCATTGATAGAATATTAACACGTCAATCAACATTTGATTCCTTCCTGGTAAGATTTATTGCAAAAGCCCGTTACAACCGCCGAACCGCATCTCCCTATATCAGAGAACAATTTATACCCAGCCTGACATTCTCGCATACATCCGTTTGCTGGGCCACGCTACTTGAGCTAGCTGAGCACAGCTGGCAGCGGCGCGAGCAAGGCCACGAGGGGAACGTGATGGTGCTCGAGCTATTTCACTGTGAACCAATGTTTCGGCCACCCCACGGGTGTGTGTCGCCATCTATTGGTTGAACTAACGCCTTGTTCGAGATGGCTGCCGTGGGACCGCAGCCTTAATACAAACGGACCGCCGAAAACGCGAGAATCAACGCAGAGGCTTCAACAAACGACACCGAGCGACAGAGCTACGTGCGTTGAAAGTAGGAGATAAAGTGTGGTTAAACGACAGGAAGTCCGAAGCCACACTGGTAGCGCGAGCTGCCAAACCTCGGTCTTACTTGCTGGAAACAGATTCTGGAAGACAGCAGAGACGAAACAGAAGAGCTTTACACTTTCTCCCTTCTGGTTCCTCCCACCAGTCTGTCTATGCTGGAACGCCAACTACATGATGTAGAAAACTGCATCGGGCACTGATTGGCTTTTCTCTCGGGTCACGTGACATGACGTTGAAATGTAGTTTTTCCCTATGCAGTTCGAGCTATGCTCGTAAAATGATGCAGTTAGCGGTGACGTCAAAATGTCGTCACGATGCACTTTGACGATGCAGTTAACTGAGTGGTCGAGGCGAAGGCAGAGATCAATCTGCATCGTAAAAGATGGCGACCCTAACATAAGCATCTCTACTGTTGGGTTCGCCAGCAGATCGAGTTTATAGAGATCACCGGGATGCTTTCGAGACGAGCGATGCGAGGTTTGTGGGCGAATACCAACTGACCAAAGGGGTGACTCGCTGGTTGTGTGACAACTTCGCGGAAAGCTCCAGCGTTGTCTTGAAGGGCCCCGTGTGCTGACGGTCGAACAACAAGTCCTCGCAGCTCTACGCTTTTACGCCGCTGGCGGCTTCTAGGGAACCGTCGGGAGCGACGAAAACATTGGTGTTCTCCAGTACTCTGTGAGTCACGTACTTGGTGATGTCACCAACGCCATCATCGATTGCCTCGGATCGAAGTGGCTCTGTTTCCAACAAACTCAAGCAGAGAAGGCGCTCACAAAAAGGAAGTTCTTCGAGCGATGCAAGTACAGCGGCGTGATCGATAAATATTCTAAATACTCTTACACGAATAAACACGATTGTGTTTTCATTTGAGTGCACCCCATATAAGCGATTTGGCTGAGCGAAAAGCCAAGCAAGCAACGGTAACAGGCTTAAGTTGAGCTAGTTCGTTCATACTTCAGGTAGAGAGAGAGCGAGATATGCTTTATTTTAAAGCAGCTACTTCAGGTCAGGCCAGCTGAACTAGAATAAACATACACATAAAGAAAAGACCATACACACCGTGGTACTAACAGGAGAAAGAAGAAGCTACCGACGAGTTCGGACGCGTTTTCTTGAGCTCCCGCTATTAGGCCTAGTACCTAATACCGATGTCCTCGAACACCCCACCGACTTCCAGCTTCTCACCCGCCGCGGCCTTATCCGTGGACGGGAACCTTGAGGAGATGGACACGCGCCCAGCAAGCCAAGCAAGTCCTGCCGCCGCCGCGACGGACCAGCTTACCACTTCGCTGATCGCACCCGCAAAACGCACTGCGGAGGAGAAACCTTTTCTTGGTGAATCTTCCACAACTACTAATAACGTAGATTCAGCGGAAATCGCGCTGAAGGCTCTATTTGCGGCGATTCCCAGAGAACGCCTCATTGACATCTTTAAGAACTTTCTCGAAGAGTCCAGTCCAAACAAACCCAGCAAAGGCAAGAAGAAAAAATCGGACAAGACAAACCCGCCGACGGCGAATTCATCGCCGAACTCAGCAAGCGTTGCTATGCCCGAAGCAACAACGCCAGCCCAAGAAACGCCGATCACAGCGGCAAGTCGGCGCCAAGACGCCGATACAACTGCGCTGATGATATTTACAGCTGGCTGTACGCAAGATGGTGCGGCCCCAACCGAGTGTCAAGGTCCATTGCCCTCAGACGACGAAAAATGGACACCAGTCACCTACAAGAGAAGAAAGCGGGTACGAGTAGACCCCTCACTCCAAGCCCACGGAGCGGTACGGCCCCGACAGCGCCTGTTCGAGTACAAGGTTCGCCCTACGAACTCTCAAGTCTCGATAAAGCCTTACCTTCAACCACTCAAGACGCAATGCACCATGCTGCGCACTACAGCCTCGTTCTCGATGCACGTCATTGAGCAAGCCAACACCATTTCGGTCCGCACAGACACGGAGGAGCTGGCAAAAATGCTGAGTGAGATTACAGAAATCAAAGTGCAGGGGCGCGAAGCACTTCCTGCACAAGTCTTCCGCACGTTTGGCACGTCATACACCAAAGGTATCATCTATGATATCTACCCTAAAGAGCAGGACCCGCGCGACGAAGTCCTCAACCACGAACTCGAATCGGAGAAGGTCGACATCGTGGCCGCCCGTCGGATAGGCAAGTCGAATACGGCTGTCATCACATTCGACGGAGAGAGACTACCGAGGTCGATCTTCTACGACAAGCGCTACATGAGGGTATTTCCACACAAGCCAAAGGCTGTTACGTGCCGTAACTGCCACAGGCTGGGCCACAAACCTGACATCTGCCCGAATCAGGCGGTGTGCCCGACCTGTGGAACTTCTCACCTAGCCGACACTGACCCCGCCAAGGGACCAGGATGTCCGGACTCTACTCCCTACTGCCAGGGGTGCAAGAAGAAAGGCCACCTGGGTACCGATCGCAAATGCCCAACGTGGTCGGCAACGAACAAACGAATGCGGGAGGACATCCAGAAATTGAAAAAACAACACCGACTCCAACAGCCGTCGGAGAATACAGAAAGAGTAAAAAATACTACGAAAACACAGAGCGGCACTTTTTGGGCTGACAAGGTGAAGGAGAACATCCAAGCACCCCCACCGGCCCCCACTGGAGGGTCAGAAACACAAGAGCTTCGCAACAGGTGCAGCTACCTCAAAGCTGAACTCGACAGGCTTAAAGCCACAGTCCAGTCTCAGCAAGAGGAAATCAAGCAATACAGGGAAACTGCTAACCGGAAAAAGGCGCTAGCAGCCCAAATCCTCAACGAAAAATGATCAGAGTTCTCCAGTGGAACTGTCAGGGGCTCCGCAAACGGGCAGCGGAGCTCCGACTACGCCTTCTGGATAAGCCTGACGAACGCCCTGACGTACTGTTACTTCAGGAAACGAACACCACAGCCGTCCATCTTTATGGATACCTGGTATACTCCAGTCCCTCCATAACCACCAAACGCCCTGGAGAAATGACTTCTCCTCCAGGGAAGGCCCTTGTCTACGTGAGGGACGACTGGCCTCAGCACCAAGTCGACCTCACCCCGTACTCCAACGATGGGCAGGAAATCGTGGCGGTCCGGATCCAGGTCCAGCAGCACCACATCGTCCTAGCATCCATTTACTATAGACCGCTCAAGTCCGCGACACAGCAAAGAACTAACCTATGGATCTCCCATATTCACGATCTTTACCCCAAAGAACAAAAGCTGTACGGAGGAGACTTTAATCTCCACCACCCTATGTGGGGATACAACCATGAATCTCCGGGGGCGAAAGACTTAGTGGGCGAGATACATTCCTTCCGCTTAAACCTGGTCAACAAGAAAGGAGTCAGAACAAGACTAGGAGGTTCCGGGCAGTCGGATGCCACACCCGACCTCACTTGAACCACGAACCCATACATTCAACACCACAAGTGGAAATGCCTACCGGATACGTCGGGTAGCGACCACTTCCCCATCCGCTTCGAATTCTCGCCCACGAGACGGGTAAAAGACAAGGTTAAAAAACGCACAGCGAACATTGTACACTGGGACAAATTTAGGGAAGCCCTTAACAGCGCGGAACTTGAAGACGCTGACTTTGAATCGCGCTTCAACAGCGCTTTGAGGACTGCAACCATCAAAAAGGACATCGGTGAAGATACTCCAACACCCGATCTCCACCTTCTCAAGCTGTGGGCCAAGCGACTGCAAAATATACAAAAGTACCGTAAAAGGCCGAAAAGCACCGAAGCCAGACTCAACATCACCAGGGCTACGGTGGAAGCGAAGGTTTACGCACAAAAACTTGACGAACACCGCTGGCTCGACTACAGCGCATCGCTCTCCGAGAAAACGTCGATATCGAAACTGTGGGCCACGAATCGCGCGCTTCTTGGAAAGAAGAAATGCAAAGGGGCAACACTCACACTTGCCCTTAAGCTCAACAAGACTGAGAAACAACTCGCCGGAATGGCAGGGGACCTCTTTTTTCCCCAGCCCGACTTGAGGAATTGTCCTTCGCCATACCACCACGACGTCCTGGCTCCGGATTACGGCATGGACCGACCCTTCACGCAGGGCGAGCTCGAAAGCGCTCTTCAACGTGGAAAAACCCACACAGCCCCCGGACCCGACAAGATCACCATGACAATGCTGAGAAATCTCCCAGGTCTTACCAAATCCGAGCTTCTAGAGTGGATTAATGAGATCTGGGAAACTGGCAAGCTCCCCAAAAGCTGGAAACACTCCCTCGTCATCCTAATCCCCAAGCCGGGCAAGAACAAAGGTACCCTCACAAACTACAGACCGATCTCCCTTACGTCTTGCACCAGCAAGATAATGGAGCGCATGGTACTTTCAAGAATAGAATGGTTTCTCGAATCTAACAACTCTTTCCACCCGGCCCAGACGGGGTTTCGACCCGGCATCGGCACCCAGGAAAGCCTGGCTCTGGTATCGGCGGATATTATCCGCAACATCAACCCTGACCGCTCCAACATCAGAACCATTATCACAGTTGATGTCAAAAAGGCTTTCGATTCTGTTCCACACTCAACAATCATAAAAGAATCTCAGCACCTTGGCATCACTGGGAGATCCTTAAACTTCATCAAGACTTTCCTCGAAGGCAGAACCTCTTCGGTCCGCTGCGGAGCCAACTGCGGTAAACCCAAGGCCAACCTAGTAGGTGTCCCGCAAGGCTCTGTCATCTCACCGATGCTTTTCAACATCGTGATGGCGGCCCTGCCTTACGAACTCGAAAAAATTAACAAGCTAGGGTTTACGATGTACGCCGACGACGTATCGATCGGGACCAAGAGCGAAGACATCGAGAGGCAACAAGACACACTCCAAGCCGGCCTAGACATGATTGAAGCCCACCTTCACAAGGTAGGCCTCCAAGCCTCCCCAGACAAGACTAACGATGTCACCATAGCACCCAAACGACAACGAGTAATGAAGATTGGCGACCAGCTCCATCTCGTGCTCGCAGGAAAGCGAATCCAGCCCTCTACGTCTGTCAAGATCCTGGGAATTACCGTGGAGGAGACAGGCAAAGGGGACATATGGCTTCAAGACACGCTGAAGTATTGCAACTCTGCCCTCAATGCCATCAGAAGAATCTGCAGCGCCAAGGGCGGTGCAACGGACGAGATCGCCAGAAGGATGGTAAAGGCCACGGTAGTCTCCCGAGTCTGCTACGGAGCCCGACACTACTGGCTCACCAAGGCACAGTGGCGAAAACTTGAGTCCCTGAATAACCAAGCTATGAGGATCATCACGGGCCTCCCTCGGTTCACCCCGCTCGAAAAACTAAATGAGCACGCACAGATCAACTCACTTCATGACACCGTCGTCGCTCGCACGGTTGCACACGGCGAACGTCTTAAGCACTTTAAGCAAGGACGGGAAATCCTGAAACTCCTATGGCGCGCAACAGAAGGACTCCCAAACCTTCCCGAGCAACTCCCTCCTTGGGAAGATCACATGAACATTGCTGAAAACAAGCCGACTGCTCGAAAAGGCGACTCCCAACAGCAAGCACGAATCGCAAAAGCGCACTCCAGAATGGTTGAGACATGGACCAACCCCACTCACATCATGGCCGCATATACCGACACCGCCGCAGAAGACTCCCCGGTTCCGCTGAAGACCGCGGCAGTCTACTTTCCAGCTCTCGGCTCCTCGGCCGCGAACGCACTTCCAATGCGCACCTCCATCAAAGGGGGTGAACTTGCGGCGATTCACCTCGCCCTCGAACAGTCCTCAAGTCACAACACCCGCTACCTCGCGAACTTCGAGTGTTCTCGGACTCAAGAGAAGCAATTAAAGAATGCCAGAAAGCAAGAAGCCCGAGCCGCATAGTTCGGGAAATCAAGAAGCTCGCCTCCCGACTCCTGCAGGAAGGAACGACTACCAAAATCTCCTGGGTCCCTGCGCATGCAGGCATCGAGGGCAATGAAGAGGCTCATCAGCTAGCTCGCGCGTCCCTTTCCTTTCTCCGCGAAGTTGCTGACGTCCCTCCACATATACACGACCACGGCTACGCCCCCGCCTGTGATCAGGACACGGCTGGCCAAACAGATCAAGGATACGACCCGGATGAAGAACGGGCCCAGATTAAAGAGCGCTACCGGACCACACTGTGGGAGAAACTTCCTCCGAACGCAGATCCCCTTCCCCAGGGTTTCGGCAGCGTTCTCCTCACGAAAATACGCACGGACACCACCTGCACGCCCGCCCGCATCGCATCATGAAGCAAAGAAACCAGGTCTGGAACCTGTTCAAGGTGCACCATGGGCAAGAAAGCCGACACTCACCACATCCTATGGGAGTGCCCCAGATCAAAGGAAGCCAGGACAAAGCACCGACCACCAGACATTAGCTCCCTGGAGGGATGGACCCACCCGCCTGGATCCCAGGACAACCAAAGGAGAATCCTGAACGGCCTCCTAGATTTTATCTATGACGCCAAGTTGGACATCTTCATCTAATCCCTTCTCTTTTAATTCGTGCCAGCGTCCAGACCGCGTAGTTACCGACGCCCTCCCTCTCCTTTCCCCCTAGATTATGGCCAATAAACGCATTATGAACTGAACTGGTACTAACAACTGATTTTCTTCTTCCCCCCCTTCTACTACGAGCCCAACATGAGGGAAATATTCTCTTTTCTTCTTTTTTGCTTCCTACTTCACCGAAAGCTTAACCCCCGAAAGAACATTTTGTTCTTTCTTGTGCAGCACGAGAGAAGTTGCACTAACGCAGTCAAACATAGTCAAAAAGTAAAATTTGTCGTTAGTTATATATGCAGCAGGAGGTTAGTCTGCCTGAACATGGAGACATTGTTACCCACTGTAGATAAGCAATTTAGTCAGTGCAGTACGACTGCTAGCCCGGGGTCTTTAACGTGCATCACGCAGTACACGACCGCACGCAGGTACGATGCTCATCCAGCAGATCGAAACAGGCAGGAGCGGGGATTAAACCCACGATCCCTGGGTTCTGCAGCGCGAGCTTTCGCTCCACGTGCTCCGAGCTGGTATGCGCTAGCCTACTCGGCGATTCTCCGAAATTCCCTGTAGGGAAAAAAAGAACGATGTAGTTTCAACTCAATCGGCACTGTTCGGCGACGTCACCGGACACGTCACGGTGCAGTTCTCTTCCGATGTAGTTTCTTGGTGATGGAGATTTGGCTCCTCCTACCGGCGACGTCACGATGCAGTTTCTCCACCGCTTTTTCCAGCATAGACAGACAGAACGGCGGTTCGTACGACTTTCCCGTAGGAGATGAGGAATGCACCGACAGTTTGGACAAAAGTCTAGGCGGCAGTACGCGAAGTAACATATTGTTGCAGGACCTGCATCAGGCGCTGCAAGGGTACCTCAGGCTTATGCGACCAGGTCAGGACGAATTGTGCACCAGCCTGTCAGGCTGGGTTTTGAAGACTGATGTGGGATTTAAACTCCAACAGAGGTTTTGTCAAATACTTTGTACCATATACGTTTGTTGTCCGAGTTGTTGTTCGACAGATAATGTGCCATTTAAACTTCACCAGGTTCTTTGTACATATTGTAAATTACTCTGTGATGCGTTTATACTTGGCCAGATGTTTTGTATAAATTTTAGCTGTTTTGTATATGATGTAAATTACCCTGCTTTCGCAAAAAGGGAGATGTTGTGATTGTTGAGTGACCCATGTGCGACGTGGCTGGCACGAGACACGTGCGGACGGCTCAAAAGGAACGCACGAGATAGACTTTCTTTTTCTGCCTGGGCGCCTGGACTGAATGGTGGGCACCCCAACCTAGGAAACTCGACAAGCGGAATGTAATTTTGGGCGAAGTCATCACAAATAGAGCACCCCCTTTTGACTTTTTATCCTTAAATTTTCAGCTCATAACCTACTTGCCGAGTGTCTTCGCACGTAATTAAATTACGTTTTCAACGTATTTGTACTTTACTCAAGATAGATCGTAGTAAAAGTAACTTAAATACTGATCTTAATACATTTTCAAACGGGTATTTAGTATATTATAGTAAATACTTTCTTCAGTATTTTTCACAACACTGGTTTAGCGTCCTACGCTGCCCATGCATCAAAGATGGTCCCAAAGCAGCAACAAATGACGTCACAGAAACCAGAGTGTGATGCTGTTGCATGTCGCGATTCTGGCGGCTGGTCGTAGAAATGCTGGTGAAAAGCACAAGCGAACGCGAGTGTTGCTGTCGTCGCGGCGTCCCAACTTCTGGCTGCCGAAGCTTCCGTGGACTGCCGCACTGGAAGCGACCTGCAGCAGAACGGGCGTCTGCCACATCCACCACCGCTGCTGCGACACCGCCAGGTTTGCGATTGGCGACAGCATGACACTTCTATGACGTCATTAGGCGGAAATCAAAAAAA